CTTCTTCTTCATAATTTTTTAACCAATTTTCCTAAGAATTCATCTGCAATATATTCTACTAATCTTATTCCTAGTTTATCTGATTTTATTATTTCTGTTTGTACATTTTTTTTTATAAATGATTTTGTATCACTACTAATTCCTTCCCACCAATTTCTAACATTTCTTTCAAAAGATGCAATTAAAAAATCTAATCTCCTTTCAGTATTTTCCCATGTATCATCTTTATTATATAAAAAGAATAATATTATTGAGTCTGCCCAAGTTATTAAGGTTTTCTTAGTATCTATTTTGCAATCTAAGTCTAATTTTGTTCCTCCATGGTTAATAGGTTTATCATAATTATTATTTAATTCAAATCTATTACTATATTTATTTCCTTTGGACAGTTGTTTATCTCTTATTTTATCATAAAATTGTCTATATGGTTTATTATACATCGGAGCATAACTTTCATCTGAATCTATTGATTTTTGTTTCAAGGTTCCTACGGGATTAGGTACTCCTCCAATATTCATTAAGATTTGGTATTCATCATCTTTACTTTCTAAATTTAAATGATCAAAATTATCTATAAGTAGATCTAATTCTTCATTCATTTTCTTTGTCTTGATTTTCTTCAATTTTTTGTTTACCTAACATTTTTTCTCTAGATTCCTCTTTTTCTATTATTTTAAGTAATATATTTTTTCTAAACTCATCATCCATGCTTCCTGTTTCTATTATTATATTTTTCCTTTCAATATGTTTTTTCCCTATTCTGGTTATTTCTTTTTCTATAAATTTTTTATCTATTCTATTATTCTTTTCTTCATTTTCTTTTAATTTTCTGACTTCAAGTTTCAATATATTTATATCATTTCTTGCTTCTTTTATTTCATTCTTTATTTCTTGCACATCATTTATTAATGTTCTTATTAAATGTTTTAAATCTTTCTTTATGTTCACTGATTGACATTTTCTTTTATCGATTTTTTGATTGACAATAATAAAATACTATATACACAGTATTTTTACAATCTCTTATTATTTTATCATACTTTTGTTTTATAACTTCAATATTTGTTAGTTCTTTTAATTTTTCATAATATCTTGCTTTTTCTTTATACCTTTCTTGTTTTAATTCTAATATTTGTTTTTCTTGAATTTTAGTTATATCTCCAGGTATTAATAATTCATCTAAAAAATTTTTATTTATTAATCTTATTCTTCTTAACTTTCTTTCTAAAATATTTTTAGTTTCTTCCATTATATTTTTATGATGACTCAAATATTTCTCTATGGTATAAGTCATTTTCAAATACTTCGATAATTATTTTATATGTACGTCTATCTTTGATAGATCCTACAATTAATTTATGTAATATTTGTTCCTTTATTTCTCTAGGTAAATTTCGAGTTACGTATAATGTTATTATTTTTAATTTATTAGGGATAGGGTTGAAAAATATATAACATCCTTTTTCTTCAATACATTGATAATAATTATTTATTTTTATGATTTTCATAATAATTTTTTTTTTTTACAAATTACTATGAAATCTATTTCACTCTGGATTTCTTCTAATATATATATATGCTTATATTCTTCAAATAATATCTTTAATTATTTTCTCTTTTAGTTCTAAAGGTAGATTTTTAATTACTCTAAAAATTTCTAATACTTTTTTTATGTCTTTACTATATGTTCCAATTATATTATCTTCTTCTATATAACCATCTATATTAGAACTATATTTTACTTGATACTTTAGTCTATTTTTATAAGCTTCAATAATTTCTAAAATCATAAATTTTATTTATTTTCAATATCTTTTAGGTAATTTATTTTTATATACTTCCTCATGATCTCTATGGCTCTGATACCAACGGAATGGGGGCTATTATGAGCGAACAAAAATCTAATAATCAAAAATCTAATAATCCAATATTCTAAAAATTCTTTTATTTTTGTTTTAGTTAATCTATTTGTTATTAAGCGTATATAAAATCTTAAGGTAAGGTTAAAAACTAATTTTTTGTATGCTTGTGGTAATCTATTTTTTATTGGTCTTCTCATAAATTTTTAAGTAATTCCTCAAAATCTAGTAATGTCTGAGAATTTATAATATCAACATCTGTTATCATATCTATGTCTGTTTTAAAAGGTATATCGTATTTTAAGATATTTTTCTTCATTTTTTCTAATTTATTTATGATACCTTGTATATCTTTTATGATTATTGATCTTACAACTCTTTTAGCAAAATTTTCTAATAAGTTTTCTTTGAAACACTTTAATATTTCTTGTGATGCATATAATTGTTCTTAATATCCTATCTTATCAATTTCTTTTTCAAACTTAATTTCTTTTTAATTTTTAACAACCTTTTTTATATTATATGGTCCTCTCTTATATTTGGATTTTTTCATTTTATAATTATTCATTAATAATTCTTTCAAATTTTTAGAAAAATTACTTGCTAATTTTTAAGGACTTAGATAGAAGATTTTTATTATGAAATAGGTTGTTTTTAATATTTGTTTAAGGGTATTTTAGGTAGTTCCAAATGTTTGGAAAAGTCAAGGGCCATTTTGGAAAATGATCTCTCTTATTTGGGTCAATTTCATGTATTTCCCATTGTAAAAACTATTGCATTTGAAACACTCGATGTTATTGTGAAGGATATTAGTGATGGTTTATTTCTATTCTTGTTGATAAATCGCACGACGTGTTAGCGAAGGAGAAAATCTCAATTACTTTACGTTATGTGAACAAGAAGGGACAAGTAATAGAACATTTTACTGGTGTTGAACATGTGTCAAGTATAATGGCTCTCCGACTTAAGGCTACCATTGATCACTTATTCTCTAGATCTAAATTAAGTATATTTATTTTAAGAGGTCAATGTTATGATAAGGCAAATAATATGCGATGAGTTTAATGGTATCAAAGCACTTATTTTGAAAGAGAATTCGAGTGTTTTCTATATTCATTATTTTGTTTATCAATTACAATTAGCTCTTGTAGCTGTGGCGAACAAGAATGTAGATATTGAAACATTCTTACTTTAGTTACAGGGGGATCAGCTAAGCAGTGTGATCTTCTTTAAGAGAAGAAAAAGCTTAAAGTTGTTAAATCATTTTGTAATCTGATGGGAGATTAATCATTGAGTGATAATTTGGTGGCGTATATTGAAAATGGTGTATTTGACAATATTGATAATGATGTAATTATATGACGTTCTCAAAGTATGAAACATATAGATTACAATTGTAGTAATGTATTAACTTATTTTCATTAATGCTATGCTGTTTGAAAAAAAAAAAGGATTATTTCTTGATTTTTGATCCCACAATAGAAAATATATGACTACACCATCTAATCCATATACATAAATCCGCTTGTTTGATATTATACTCGAAACTTGTGAACGAATCAGCCTTCAAGGTGACGCTTTATTCTAGCCACAGTGTTAGTTCTATTGTATCTCCATGAGGTACTTGCATATTAGTTGAACTTCAGATTTCATGTTTGTTTTAAGACTTCCCTCTTAGTTCTTTTCTCTCACTTTACTTATTTTATCCTGAACTCCAGTCTTTAATTTATTGATCTGTGATGATACTAAGTACTAAATCCTAATCAAATCTAAGTTTTTTTTTTTTTTTTTTAATAAATGATTGTGGGTGTCCGCGTAAGCTTACTCGCACCTCGACTAATCCCATGATACCATGAAATTTACAGCTTGATACTCACTTTAATAGCCTTGAGGGGATTCGAATTGATGACCATTGGAGAGCAAACCCAATGCCTGACTACTAAGCCACCCTTTAGAATTAATCAAATCTAAGTTCTCATCTAGTGTTGCATCAATATCTATCCGCAACTTTTCTTCAGCAACTGACATGGCAAAAGTTTAATTTGCAGAAATCAGTTGGTTTTGTGTGCTTGCTTTTAAGTGGTGAAGGCGGCATGTAGTGAGTTTGCTTTTGTTTGAAGATGGTGGGGTGAGGCATGTTGGGGTGGGATGGTGAAGAGAATAACACTCCTTTCGCATGTGCAAATTGATCATGTAGATTATATATGAACATTGCTATATGTTTATCAAGGTTTACATAAGAGATTACATATTGTCATATGACATTCAACCATATGCCAGTTTAAAACACAACTAACTTTTTATCTAATCTTTTCTCTCTATAGCATCTTCGATAATCGTTTATCTAACATTTTTATGTACAAATAGCAAAATTCATTATATATATGGTCAGACTCTTGACTTTTGGTTAACTAACGATCATGTGGACGATTATCCTTCCATCATATGAGATTGAAAGGTTTGGAACCAACACTACTACAAATAAAATGTTAAGAGTAAAAATTGCGATAATTTGAAAGATCCGGAACCACGACTCAAATTATTCCTTAAAAATTTTCAAAGCTTGAGAAAAAAATCCCAATCATGATCCGGATAAATATACATATACGAGAGAGGTTATACGACGGAACAGGCTCCCCACCTATAGGGGGTGCCAAACGGCATATGGCCCAGGACGCCACATGAACAAGTAGTGTTTTCCTACTTATACATAGAAGCATGTGTGTATGTAGAGATTGAACAAGTTACTACTGCTTATTTTAAGGAACAAGGGCCTTGGAATGTTAAATGGGTGCGTTCATATACGTGCTTAAATAAGCATATGCACAACCCCACCCAAACATCATTTTGTCTCCAAGGATTTAACACAAACATGTATCTAAGATTCTACATAAGAAGAGAGAGACTACGTACTACTCGTGATTCTGGGTTTTTTCTATTTGGAGCGCAGTAATTCCCTTTGCTTGATAAAACGTCGTATTATGACGTTACCTACATTGAAAATCTTGAGAAAAATGGCTTCTTTTATCCGAAACTTGTCCAGATCATTTTCATCCTCAAACACTGAATGAAAATTCTAGAGCAGTTAACGCCGTAGACGCAACTTGGAAAGATAAAGATTTATGGAATGGAAAACCTTCAAAAGTCTCAACTAGTAGTGAAGTATATTAATATCAAATAGGAACTTTTGATTTAAAGTCTAACATACTATTAGATCTGAGGCACTGACTATCCCTCTAGTTAGTTCCCGGCTAACCTTACGTTTACTTCATACATAATTATATTATCGAAACTCAGAATCTGTACAAGGAATCTCTCTCTATATTGCACGTTGAAGAGCCAAACGAAGAGCCTGTACTACTACTGTCAGCGACAAGCTGGATTCTTTCTCCATCTTCGAAAGAACGAATGAAAAAAGATTTATTAATTTTAGTGAAAGCAATATAATTTAAAGCATGAATCATTTTAGAGATTATTACCTCTGCATTAATGCTAATATCAAGAGCAAAACGTCCAAACGATGTAGCATTCACATTGATGATTGAGAGATGGAGCTTCTCTACCTCAGCAAGTATTTTGGACAGCGTACCTTTGTGCTTCTCACAATAGATTCTCAGAAAAACGTGGTTGTTGCAAACTTTAGCTTCTATTTCCGGCAGCTCGGAGCTGTTATTTTCATCCGAAGATCCCTCATCTTCCACAGAGAGTGTTGATTTCTTAACAATCACCACAGATTCCACTGTGTGTTTTGTTGCTTGTTCCTCAAACTCCTTCACGCACTCTTGAAGGTGTTTCACATACGTAATAGCATCTCCCAGTATAGAAGTTTTATCCACCTGAAATACCCATTATGCTCAATATATCAATCCTTATTTATCGTAGCTTTTATAGGGAATATACATACCAGTACTGGAGTGTTAAAACCAAAATAAAGCTAAAATCTTATCTCTTGGAAAGTGGGTGGCCAGCATTAAAACCATGAAATTAAGATTATATGTACCTTCTTGAGGCCAGGAACTAAGGCTGAAAGAGCAACAAATCGCTGGCTGAGCAGCTCCCGGCGTTTTCTTTCTGCAATTATATGATCATAGGGTTGAGATCGCGGCCTAACACGACCATTTTTCTTTGTTTTTCGTGCCGTTTTTATAGCCTCTTCAGGGTTTCTCAAAGCCTCAGAAACTGCTGCCTTTTCTTCTGGATTCAACGAACTTAGGTTATATTGCTGATGTCTTCTTGTAGGAGAATTCGAGTTGCAGAAATTGAGAATGATCGGAGTAGAAGAATGGCCCTGATCAAAATTTGGCACACAATAGTCATTATAATTGTTAAGCTTTTGCTGTTCGGGTGGTGGTTCAAAGGAAACTTGAGGTGGTTCCATGCCCCGGGAAGTGCCCAAGCTTGACATTGAGCTGCTACTTGGAATCAGTGTTAATGAAGAAGATGAGTTGTTTCCTGGAGATAAGTCTTCTTTAAGAAGAGCGTTCAGTTCTTCATCGAAATCAATTTGATCCTCAAAAATTGAATTGTCCATTATCTGTGAAACTATTCTGTTAAAATGTAGCATAACAAATATTACTGAAGATATTGAGACAGGAAATCGTCCACGGTTAAATTATTCGTACAGTTTACGTATATCTTCTTACCGTTTCAGAGATGCATGAGGCCGCTGAGATATCCATTATTGAGAATGTTTTTAGTTTTCCAAACTCCCGCACCACAATGAAAAGAAACTACACGTTAAAGGACAAATAAATTAATTAATCTGGAGTTGGAAATTTCCTGGGGAACGTTCTTGAAGAAAATAAAAGAAATGGACCCCTGTGAAGGAGGTTCAACCGATAAAGGAATTTGCAGATAAGGAAATGGAATTTGCAGATAAGTTTTGAATTCTTTGTAGAATAATGCCATACATTCCATGGTTGACATCTGAGTATACATTCCATTGGATTTCAAAAAGTGTTGGACAGGAATTTTTTTTTTTTTTTTAATTGTCCAATCATGTGTCATCACGTGGCACAATGCCAAAAAGAATGGCAATTAACATGATTGTTCTTAGTAATACTTCGGATGTGAAGGAACAAAATAACAGAGACATTTGAATGGGAAAAACAAGCTAGATTATGTTACTATCTTCTCTAATGTGTCTCCATTTGGTGGAGACGAAAATCAGATTTTTAACAAATTTTGATAAAAAAAAATGATAAAATATGTGTTGAAAAGTTGTGGGGCCGATTAAATATGTGTTCAAAATTAGTTACTGACTTTGACTTCGAAAAAAATCTGGATTACAATTTCTATCAATCAAGGGCTTATTATATATATCCCGAGTAGCATTAGATTTATCTTCACGTGTGATCTAGACCACCCAGTTATTTTTCTATCTCAAATACGAACACATTAAGATTAATTAATCACAAGAACATATATAGATGGAAGAATGT